ATCTTTTATGGATTTTAGTACATCCAAAAATGTTTTGCTATATATTGCTTCTCCCTTCCTTTCTTTGCGAACCTAATCTGAAAAAAATTAGAACTCTTTAATTTATCCATCGTTTAAACTTCTCCTCATCAGTTTCAAGTTCAAATTTAAGCTCTTACCAATTGCACAGTCCATAGTACATCTTTCTTGTTACAAATAAGTTAGTCATGGTGTCCATAGACATCAAGTCAAATAAGAACTAAGTTGAGTGACTCTGGCAGACTTTGATTTTTCTTTTTTTTTTTGGTTCCACATTCCACAATATTTTAGATTTTTTTTTTTTGTTTTAGTGTTTGGTAAGTTTTTATTGAGCAATTTTTAGAAAAGTTTTAGAGAAAATAATAATAATATAAAAGACACTTATTAATAATTTCATTATCTTCTTTATATATATAGGTACACAAAAAAATATTTTATAGTTTGAACTATTGTGAACTATAACACATTGATTTTTTAATAAGTCGAAACTCTTTAACGTTAGAGGTTTTTTTCCCATCAAAAAGTCTTTATTAATTTTACAGTTCCGAATAGCCCAAATTGTAAACTAGTGCACCTATATATATATAGAAATCAATGTTTTTTACTTGGACTTACAAAAAATTTGGTGAAAAAATATTTTAAAATTAAGTTGTTTTAATAAAATACTGTAAGAAAAGACTAAAACAACTTCATCTTTATTTTAAAAATAATTAGAATATTTTAATCTTTTTTAATTAATTTTTATTAAAACAACACAATTTTAAAATATTTTTTTAATTACTTAATCTTTTGTAATACAAACTAATACCCACTTAAATTGTGATGTAATAAATCATTAAAATTAAAAGATAATAATAAAATTAAAAATAAAAAAATATTTATTTTTTTAAAATATAAAAAATTAATTATTATTTTTAAAGAAATTCTAAAAAACAACACTAGTAAAATTTTTGTTTTCAGCAACTAAGCATCAGTAACATGAAATTGCTTGTTGGTGATATGAATTTTCACCGACAAAACCTATGTTGCTGATACTTCAATAGTACACATTTTAACAAAAAGTGTTCTTTACTTTTAGCAATACGGTTCTTGTTGTTAAAAATGAATGTTAGCAACAATGACTATGTTGCTGAAAATTTTATGTTACTATTCATGACCGGATTTTGCACAAATTTCATTAATTGATCGGCAAAAAGTGTTTTTTACTTTTAGCAACGTGGTTCTTGTTGCTGAAAATAGTTTTCAGCAATAAGAACCATGTTGCTGAAAATAGTTTTCAGCAATAAGAACCATGTTGCTGAAATTTTTTTGTTACTGTTCATGATTGGATTTTGCACCAATTTTATAAATTAATTAGCAAAAAATGTTTTTTACTTTTAGCAACATGGTTCTTGTTGTTTAAAATGAATTTCAGCAATAAGAACCATGTTGCTGAAATTTTTTTGTTAATGTTCGTGACCGGATTTTGCACCCATTTCATAAAATAATTAGCAAAAAGTGTTCTTTACTTTTAGCAACATGGTTCTTGTTGCTGAAATTTTTTGGTTACTGTTCATGACCGGATTTTGCACCAATTTCATAAATTAATTAGCAAAAAGTGGTATTTACTTTTAGCAACATGATTCTTGTGCTGAAATTTTTTTGTTACTGTTCATGACCGGATTTTGCACCAATTTCATAAATTAATTAGCAAAAAGTGTTATTTACTTTGAACAACATGGTTCTTGTTGTTGAAAATGCATTTCAGCAACAAGAACCATGTTACTGAAAATTTTTGGTTATTGTTCATGATCGAATTTCGCTTAAATAGTACATTTTCCCCCCAAAAGGTATTCTTCACTTTCAGCAACATGATTCTTGTTGCTGAAAGTAAATTTCATCATTTTTTAGCTAAATTAGATATTTAAATCATTTAAATAAATAGTGAATAATATAATTATGTTAAGTAATGTGTTAAATGTTAAGTAATATTTAACAAAGTTAAAAATATGAACTAATAAATTAAATTTTAAAGATAAATAATATAATTATATTAATTAATGAGTCAAGTATTAAATAAAATTTAATAGATTAAAAAAATTCAACTAATA